CCGGATAGCTAGTGAAAAATAGACTTTTGTACAAGGTAGTTCTTCTTCTTACTCAAAACGTCCGTTCTGTTTTGCTCTGGTGGTATGTGGTGATGTAACTTGAATATCAAGAAAGAATACTTTCCGTAATCCGCTGAGCCAAAATGTTTTGCTCATAATTAGGCCGGTTAATTAAAAAAGCCGGTTAATTCATCTCAATATCAGCTTTATGTTGATTGTAAACCGTCCAAGGAGCATTGAAAACAACTTCGAAAGAGCACTGTAGTAGTTTAATTGTACTTGCACGTCGTTTCTAACTGCACTGAACATTTCTTTAAGCAGGATATGCCTTCGAAGGGGGGAGAGGTTCTCCTTTAAATAAGATCTTTAAGACCAAAGTTTCTATACCATTTCAAAGAACTGAATTGGATGATCTGCGTATATTTTAATGCACTTCTCAAATCTATGATATTGTATTTTTTGCTCGCGTTATTGCTTTGGTTTTAATGTTAATGTACATTAATATGAAGTTAGAAGTCAGCTTGAAAAATGCGTCATTTAATTTAAAACCATGCACTAACCCATACAAAATAGACCAACCTACCTGTACGGCTTGCATGAGAGCTTTTTCTCGGCGAGGTTGTCTCCACCATTCTTAAGCCGCTTTCTACTGTAGTTTGTTTTAGCAACAAAAAAAGAAAAAAAAGAAAGAAAGAAATGACTTGTTTGGCATTCCAAAGTATGAAGAAGTCTAAAGCTTGGGCTACTATGGAAACAGCCAGTCATTAGGTTTACGTTTGTCACAGTTTTTCGCTTCCCAAGTTTCATTAATTGTCGGCAGTTTAGTCATGTTTCCGTAGCACAAAGAAGGTAAGAGTGTTTGTTACTCCTCTCATCAACGTATGCGAGTCAATCATTAGTACCACACGGCATTTTTGTCAGGTTTCCTCAACAACTGGAGGGTACCAGTGTGTTGAGAGAAACTGTAACATTAAGGTGTTTTAAAAGAGCACACCGTTAGTAACTTTTAAATCATTTTTATGTTGCATAGAATGTTGAACGATCTGTTGTTATTTCTTGTTCTTTTTGGGTTTATTTGAGGACTCAAGTTTGTTACCTTATCGCTGTTTAGCATTTTCCAAGTCAAATCGAGAGTTAGCATTGTTACTGATACAAAGAAGGCCGTGAGTCCGTCAGGTTGCTCAATTAGGGTTGATAAAGCGGATTCAACAGCCTTTTTGATCCAGAGAAACTCGGAGTAGACGTGGACGCCACGACTACGCAAGACGCTGGGCCGTCCTGGGGTCCTAGGAAGTGCTATTTGCTTTGCTGGCATGTTCATGTTGCTTCAATTTC